ATTTCCCGTGTTACCTCTTTTAAGTGTTTAGGTTTTTGCTGCATTTGATATACTATGCTGCGCGGGAGGCAACGCTGTTGTCACGGACCTTCGAAGCCGTTGAATACAAGGATATCCTCGCAAGCAGACTAGAGGTACTGCTGTACAGTAAATTTATCACGTTTTTTACTGAGCAGAAACTGTGCATGCGAATGACCTTAAATATTGTTGAATTGTTTAGCGGTTCACCTTGACAGTTGGCTTTAGAACTCGTAACGTCATGAATTTGTGTAATGAAACATATATTCAGAGCTACTCCGTAGGAGATGTGAATATCATCAACGGACCGTTGTTTCTCCCTTTGCATACACGTCCAGTACCACAGTAGATGTTCTGGTTTAAAGCATGAATTACACAAGATAGATTAATTATGAAACGCAAATTCACGAGTTAAAAAGAACTGTATGGGAAGACGCTGGCATAGCTGGCGTAATGTTGATGGCAGCAGGTAGTAGTTGGCGAGGGAAACGCTGAGGAACAGTTGTTTTGTTCGTTTCTGTTTTGTAAGGGACAGTAGCGTCTTTTTCGAATTGCCATGAATGTACAGTAAAACAGAGGGTTCAAAATTTCCCTCTAGCTGCAGGAAATAATAGACTGGTCGATAAAGGAGTAAAAAGGCAATAGATAAGTAGGTATACTGGCAGACAACGTGATAGATATCTAAAGTAGATAAACAGACGGATGTAGAGTGCGTAAATAGATAGACAAACCGGTCAGCGAATGGAAAATATGATAAATAGGTAGATAGAGAAATAGAAAACTAGCCGGTGGATATGTAGGGAGGTAAATAAATGGGCAGTAAGTAGATAATTTAACATAATAGATACATGCATACATACATACATCGATAGATAGACAGCGTCGTAGGTTGCTAGATATGGGAGGTAGATAAGTAAAGGACGATAGACATGAATTGACCGGTAAATAGTTAGACAGACGGATGGATGAATGGACAAAGAAAATAACGCAATTGGTTGATAGTTTGCTTTGTAGTTTAGGGAGGCTGTTATCAGACCCTCAGAAGAAGCTCAGCGTAAATTTCTTGTTATTAACTGTTAATTCTTGCCTTGAGCAAGAAAATCACTCTAGTATGCTTCGCCACAGCCAGTCGAGAAGCTGGTTGTAAGTTGTTGACCTGCGAACCTACGAACAGTAGGGACAATGTGGTGTCCTGGTGTAGTCACGGTAGAATATTCGATACATGAGTGTTGCGCCTTACGACTGCTATTTGTCTAGAACCACCCGGTGGCAGACTAAAATCAACTCAAGATATACGTCGTAAATTTAAATTTCTTCCTGGGTGTATGTCAGCGTGAATTGATCAGTTCCATAGTGCGCTACCGCTTAAATTGGGTAATTTACTCATCTTGAATCAAGAAAGCAGTGCTATGCTCCGGGACAGTCAGCTTTTGAAGAGTTATTCCCATGTTAAATTCTCCGTCGTACGAAGTCATATTTTAAATGCTATTAAAGGCATTAGTATTGATATGTAGAAATTGTACCGATAAAGTAGCAGTTAGTGCAAGTATGAGCAATAAATTTGCAGTAGATGGACAAAGGTCAAGACTAAACCCTGTTATGCGAACAGTAATAAATCATTTTATTTTTTTCAGTTGCTTTCAGGCTCGTTTCGGTAGTAACGTCCCATATGGTGAACGATCGTCACAAATAACTGGATTTGTCAAAGTGGACTATCAGCTGAACGAAGTAATTA